GAGTATTTGACTAATTCCAAGTTGATCCTTTTCTCACTTAAAAACTATTATTGGAGGGGAAGAATAATTTTCTCAAAAACAATTAAGTACAAGATATTGATCAGCTGTGATAATATTATGTTAATTTTTGCTTGGATTTCAGTTGGCAGTGACAGAAGACTTAAGCAAGAGAATATAAAAACTAAAGATCTACCAGATGTGATCCAAAATGTCACTGAGGTGGGACTGCTCTTTGAGGCACAGCCATTTGGGCATCTTGTATTGCACACTGCTGCTTTCCTTCTGCCTAGGCCTCTGCTCTGAGCCTGTAGGATTTTTAATGGGGATTGCTTAAATAGATAAAGAATATTGTAGGATGTCAGAGGGCTTCCAACAGTTGAAGCACATACTGTACATAGATAACCTTTTTCACAAGGCCATTTAACTTTTATTTATCAGAACACAGTGAACTTCTGTTTTCCCAGTAAAGGGTAGAAAATGACCAGAATTAAGTGAGTAAAATTAACAGTAATAAAGTTAGGGAAGCATGAAATTAAGAAAGTGATCTCAGTAATAAGATGTAGAAGTTTTTCAGAAAAATAATACCCTCTTGATTTGGCAAAAAACAATATTAGTACTACTTATTAAAGAGGAATACATTTATTTTATCAGTATCTGATCTCTAAGTTCTACATGCTTTTTGGATTTACCTACTTTGTTCTATTTGATTATTTCAAATTAATTACTTTACAACTGCTAATCAATTTCTCTCTATTTTAATGGTACATAAGTATTACCAGCTTAATTTTGAAGAAGAAAAGAGAAGCTGAGGCTTATAAGTAGTCTGTATCCATTAAAAAGGCCTTTACTTTTAGGTGCTTAAATTTGTTTAGCTCAACAAAAGGTGCAGAGGTAGGTGTTTGCTGATACCTTGTCCTGGGTTCACCATGACATACCTCAGGTAGTGTTTAGGTACTTCACTCTGCAATTTTATACAATCACAACTCAATGCAAAATGCATATGCAGCCTTTGAAACAGAAGCTCATCCCTCTGAGGGAGAACGTACTTTGAAGCTTGCAGGGAAATACTTATTCTTCCTGTTTTCCCTTTTGACCCCCAAATACTTCTGTACTCTGCACAGAGTTAAACAGCTATAACAAAGGAGTGGAAGTGGAGTGTGAAGAAATGTGAGTCAGGATCAAGGCTGTGGCAGCAGGTTTAAATATAGTAGGTTGTTATTCTGAGAGGTTGTTTTCATTTGAATTGTCTCAGGATCAGGAGGCTCTGTAGAAATTGCTGAACTTCATGAGCTTCTGCTTAGGTTGAGAAAAAATGGAAAGACTGCAAGAGACAAATCAGTCCTAAAGTTCTCCCATACAACATCTGGCATACCCCTGTTTTCTCTTTAGTAGCTCTTGCATGTTCATCCTGCCCTGTCAAATTTACTTATTTCCTCTGTTTCCACCAATTTTCATAGTGTACAAGTGGAAGGATGAATGTAGCCCAGTAAAATTTTGGTCTAATCCTGAACAGCAGAACAGGAAGAAATTGTGGTTTGTATTATACAAAGACAATCTTATGTCAGTGTTAGTTTCTTTTTTTTTGTGTGCAAATGTGATTAATACCATTTCACCAAAATAATATTCCTGAATACTGTTGAATTTCTTTTTCCCAAAGATCTTCATTAAAATGCAGAAAGAAATATCCCAGTAAGCTTAGAGAGAGGAGATATTCAAGGAAGTGTCATTTTAATAAACTTTTTTTCGTGAAAATAAGTTTTCCTAGCAAATTCATAGAGTTCCCTTGAGATGCTCTGCTTTCACAGTTCTGCAGTTGGCTGGTTTGTTTGGTGTTAAACAGCTCTAACAGATCCGGAGAAGTTGAAAAGCTTGATAAGGTCAGAGTAGTGAATGACTGCTGAGAACGTGTCTTATTCACAAAAAATGCATCTACTTCTTTGACTGTATTTCTGTTCATCTTTTTATCTTCATGTTAGAGTTTCACATTTTACATAGAAATGTCAAGACTTTTTTTTTAAATACTGAGCTTTGCAGATCTGATTTTTACTGTTTTCTTGATTCTTGCTCTTTTAATAACCTTTAAATAGAGGTCCACTTCTTGCTGGTAGACCAGTTACTTTGCCATGAGCATCTGAAAAGGAACTCTTTTAGAAAGAGTAGTGTGTTCTGGGCAGTGTTTGATTTCCCTGTGTGGTGTTATCTGAGTTGCATCAGCTCAGTGGCGCATTAAGCGTTACGCTGTCATGGTCTGTTGTTATGAAACAGTTCCCGTGAACTAGCATTGGGTGTACCTTATGTAACAAGCCTATCTTTGGGCTGATGTACAGGATTTCACATGTGGAGCCAGGCAGAGATGTAGCTGACTCTTCATTTCTACCGTTATGTCTTTTTTTTTTTTTAATGCACAAAGATAAGTAGCATTTAGAAAGCAGAGCCCATTGCTTTTCGTGCCGCTAAAAGGGGATAGTGTTTCTTCAACATAAGCATGTTCTGGAAAGAGTAAGAAATTTTGGATCTGTAACTGAAATGCCATAGCCTGCTACCCTGCAAGACATAAAACATTTGTACTGTGGCACAAAAGAAAAACCAGACAAAACCATGCAGTCTGGAGAGTTTGTTTCAGTTTTGGTGGCATTTCTAAGACTGCCTTCAGGGCCCAGATGAGATGTTTCTTAGACACCTACTGCCATTAGTGAATGTCTCAGAGTTATGGTGACTCCATTGCCTCCCTGGGCAGCTTGGTCCAATACTTGACAACCACGTTGGTGAATTTTTCTTTTTTTTCTAATATCCAGTCTAAACCTCCCCCGGTAAAATTCTTGTCCTATAGTTTGTTACCTGGGAGAAGACACTGACCTCCACCTTGCTACAGCCTCCTTTTAGGTAGTTGTAGGGAGCGGTAAGGTCTCCCCTGAGCCTCCTTTGCTCCAAGCTAAACAACCCCAGTCCCCTCAGCCACTCCTTGTAAGGCTGGTGCTCCAGACCTTTCACCATCTTTGTGGTCCTTCTTTGGACACACTCCAAATTTCTGCTTTCATCAAAATTGCTTGGTTGTCTCTTAAATTAGCAGGTTCACACTATAGGAGATGGTTGAAGATCTAAACTCTTCTCCCTTTTTGCTTTAGTAAATTTATTCACAATGTATACAATGATTACAATAAAACTACCCTCCTTGAGTTAGTGTATTTCCAGACAGGAACTTGTCACCACTGCCTTTAAGTCACTGTGTTCAGGTGGAGAGAGGACAGGGAGTCCTCTGTATAATGTGTGCCCTCTGCCTGTCAGGCCTGTCCCAGGGAAGGCAGGGTGTGATTCCACTAGTCTTTCTTTCACATCCCCAGTATTCCCCAACCTACCCACTTGCTCTCAGAGCTCTGTCACTAAAATGGAGAAGTCCCTCTACCTGGACACACCGTGGGCTCACTCCTGCCATCTGGTACTGCAGCCTGGCGCCTGGATGGCAGTGTGTCCACACTGGAGCTATGTCTGGGCGAATGCATCAGTCGCGGTGGGTGCAGAACTCAGAGCGGCCATGGCTTTCAGCTGGGTGCATACCATTGCTCTCTGGTTGAGCTAGCAGAGCTACAGGGCCCTTCCTGCATGCCTGTCTGCACCAGCTGGCACTTTCTGATGCACCATGCACCACTGACCTGCCCTGCTGCCGGCGTTCCTGGTACCTGGTGCTCCCTGAGTACTTCTGTATGAGTCGGGGATTGGCCGCCATTGGTCCTAGTCCTACCCAGCTCCTGTCAGCAGCAACTCTCTTGGCTCCTCCTGAGGTCCCTGGTTTGTGACCGCTGCCTGTGTGCTGCGCTGGAGCTCTGTGCTGCCAGTCATGCTGGCACCAGAGCTGCTCACCTCAGCGACTGAGAAATAACACACTTGCCAGGTGACCTTTGAAGAAAATCACAAATTTCTTTGTTTAGAGTGTAGGGGCCTGGATCTCATATAGCAGTTTCTAGCAGATAGAGTATATTACTTCTGTATCAAGTGTCACACTGTCAGAAAGTGGCACTTTGTTAGATAATGTGACCTTTAGAATAATCATCTTTCAGTCCTTTACTCTCTCTGTGGTACTGTGAAACTCTAATTCTTAATGCTTTTTGATGAAGTAGAAATAACACAACATGGAAGTATATGAGTTATTTCCTCTCAGCTGTATGTTTTTCTTCATAAATGGCACAGGTGTCATTTTGTTCATGAAAAACTTCTGTTTGCTGACTGTAAAATATAAATTTCTAAAATGTTCTGAAATGTAAATTTGGTAAGCCTTTACATATTTTATAAAGGAAAAAACTGATGTAATAATAGGTATCAACCACTTTCTAATGGCTTCTATGGAAAAAAAGTAGACAAAAATTGCCCTTTGAGCTTTGTGCAAGCTTGTCCGTTGAAGGAACAGAAAACCACTGTGCTGGAACAATGATTGTTTAAAAAGAGAATATGAGACCAGCTCTGGGTTAGATATGTGGATTTGATTTAAATACTAGCAATACTATCTGATAGAATTTTTTGTGCACTAAATTCCCAACATATGTTTTTAGGAGATGCCCAGCTTCAAAATTTTGTCCTCAGTCAGTCCTTATTTAAGCACTCGCTGAATCAGAGGTTCAACTTGGTCTCTTTGCCATCTTCTCACTTCAAGTTATGCAATATGCTTTAAGTCAAGGAAAAAGGCTTCTATGTTTGCATAATTATGTTTCAGAAGTGGAGTTTGGTGGAGTGTGTTTTTTGTTTTGTTTTAAAACTACCAAAAGAGTTAGCTGAAAGCTTTCTATCCTGCTGGGTTCTTAACTTGATAACCATGCTGGTTTTCAGCAGTTGTTCTCTTTGCTTTCATCTCATGAGGGCTATAGTAATATAAAAACATCCTTCTGCTCAGAATATGAACTAGAGGTATGTTGATTGTTTTTTCAACCTCATTGCTGTGGCAAGTCTAAATGGAGTAGAAATACAATAGCAAAATACTGTGTAGCTTCGTGTGTCGAGTTTTTTTACAGAAAGTTGAAGAAATGTTGACATTTACTGGAGACAAAAGTATCTTCCAAATAGAAGCTGCCTGTTTAAAAAAAAAACATATTTTTATGGAGCAATGTTACATTATTTTTTGTTGTAATTGTATGAAAATCGTAACTTTTAAATACTTACAAGTATCTGTAAGTATACATGTAGATACCATTCTGACTTCTTTGCGAATCTTCATCTAAAATCTCATTGTTTTTACTGTGTTTGGTTAACTGAATAAAATACTGGGTTAAAATTTGAAAAATATTACATATATTAAACATTTGTGAGACAAAGAAGGAAATAATTAATTTTGTGCCTAAAATTTGGAAGTTGGATCTGCTTGAGTCTTATTTTTTTTTTGAAGAGAAGAAAGTTTTACTGGCACTTTACAATATTTTGTAAAGATTCAAAGAGAAAGAAATTTATTTTCTAAGCCTCCTTTAACTTTACAACTGTGAAAACTTACAAAAAGGTCCATCTTACAGGGATTATTTTTGATACAATTTTTGATACAGTTTGCTTTTGATTTCTGAAATCAGCAACCTTTAATTTTTGTGTTTTTTTTTTCACAGAGGAAGGTTTTTTTGTATAATCCAGTGGGAATGAAAACCTTAGTTTTTCCTAATGTTTTAAAATCTCTTAGCTGTAAATGTTTACTATTATAGATGTATTGTAGGACCTTAAAAAGAGCTGGAGAAGAAATAAGGAGAAATAATGATAGCTTATTCCCATAAACCTTTTATTAATACTTTAAACAGATACTAGACATATTGTAGATGTATTGAGTTTGTTAAAGCTAATACTTCAGCTAGAAACCCATTTGGCACTTCAAGTGAATCTCCCAGATGGAACAATATCATTAAAAATTAATCGTATAACCACTGGACCTGCCTTTAAAGAACTGCTGAGGCTTTCTAATGGTATATTGTTGCTCCAGTTCACCAGTGAAGCGATTCCGATGCCTTTTTCGGTGTGTGGCCTACTTCTGTTAATGAAAGTACAATTTATTCACTTTAACATATAGATTATAAAACTAATCTCCTAGTTGAAACATTATGCATTTCTGCATGTTTAACTTCTCTTCACTGAGCCAAAAAAAAGTATGTAGTAAATCAGGAGGGATACATCAATCAACCTGGCATCATTTAAAAGACAATTAGAGTTTGGGATTGTCATTGCTGTTGATGTCAAATACTGAGCCAGACTCTTCTTTTGCATGCCTTGGCTGGGCTAAGGGGAGTTATATCAGGTGTGGGTCTGGGCTGTTAAGCTTTATTATAGTAGCTTGTTCAGTATCTTCATCTTTTCACAAGTATTTTTTCCCTAAATGTTGGTATTTTAAGGCAAATCATATTACCTGTCCCAAACAGGCAGGCATTGTAGTTCTCTCTTACATGGCTCCCATTGTAATCTTGGCATCTGACATTATTTTACCAGGAGAAATAACATCAAAGCTCCAATGTACTTCGTCAAAGTGTTTTTCAAAGCATCAGCAGTGCTATTTCATTTGGTGCGTGCATTCTGAGGCCTATGCTAGAATCTGCTACATTGGTTTACTCCAAAGCTGCATAAAGATGGCTGGGTTTCGCTTGTAATGTTTACTCAGCACATAACCAACCCTAGTGGGAATGAAGCGATTACTGTGCTGCTGTATCATCTGCTCCATCAACTTACTGGTCCCTGCCATCTTTCGTTCTTGTGGAATGGCTGATGGTGTGATGATGGGCTCAGTCAGGATATGTCAGATAGCTCATTTGTCAGTATAACAGCTCATCAGATTATTGCAGTTAGGGAGGGAGAGAGGAAGGCTGAATAATAGTGTTTATCATCAGGCAACAGTGCATGGATGCATTAGAGAGGACAACTTTATACCTCGGGGTGATAGGATTTGCTTTTAGTTTTTCTTTATTTTCTTTGTTTAGGGTAGCATTAACACTTCATTGCCTTTTCATTCACTGACAGAGTTGCACCTCTGAGCTTTCTCATGCCTACTTACTGCTATTCACTATTATGGAATAACTTTTGGATGGTGAAATTCATCAAAAAACATCACCAGCTGAAACAGCACTTCAAGACATCCATTTGTATTAGATCTGTGTAGATTCCATATCTATTAGATCTGCCACCGTTGATGGATTAAATAGATTGGCTTACTCTTGGTTTGTTTTCGGCTCCCTTTCTGAGGCAAGCTACTCAGTTTGGCCTTCAGACAAGGATAGGGGCCCTTGCAGCTGTCATTACAGCCATGGCAAGCAAGGGCTTCTGTTACTGCATCCTTACTGCATTCCTCAGCTGTCTAGCTATAGCAGCTTTAAGGCTGTTTAGGGTCATTTAATAGTCAGAAGCCTAATACTCTGGCACTCAATATTTAAACATGACAGTTGCTACTCTCACTTCAATGTTTGAGTTAAGTTATCTGTGCCACAGGAATAGGTCAGCAGTAATGTAGTTCTGTAAGTAAATATCAAATACTAATTTACATTTATTCTGTATATAGCCATAGAAAATGCATACACGTACATAGTTGTGTATATATATTTGTGAACTTAAGTAATTTATGTACAAAATAGCTGCCATTCCTGAAAAAAAACACCAAAAAAACCCCCACAAACCCAAACAAAGCCAACAGCAAAAAAAAAAGGACAACAGAAAAACCCAAGAAAAAAAAACCCACGAAACAAGAGTAGCGTAAATGCAATAGGACATATAGAGGATTCTAATTACACTCTGACTTTTCACAACATTGATGTAGGCAGACGGCAATGTAAGTTAAAGGTTCATTAAACAGCATTCAATTGAAAAAAAAAAAAAAAGGCTAATTGTCTTCTGTGGTAAATGCACCATTACACTCTGAACTAGTATGTCATATTTATTAAAATTTGATTTGCACTTCTTTTTCAGGTGACAAGCACAGCACAAAATTATACGGTATTTGTGTGTTGTTTTTATTATGAGGTTTATTTTAATATGTTTTTCTCGGATTAGATGGTGTTTTGAGCTACAAGTCACGAACCTGGGGATTTTGATGTTTCTACATCAAAGTGACCTTTTCTAAGGTTTTAATTCTGTTTTTTTAAATATTGGGGGAATAAATTGTGAAAAGAAAAAAATAAAAATAAAGGAAACAGTTGTAAATTCTTCATCTCAATTCTTTATGCCACTTATTTGCCCAATAAAAGCTAGGAAAAAATAAGTATATTACAAAGACAGCCACCAACCACCTTTGCTGCTGTTTTTCTTCTGTGCATTCAGAGAAACTGACCCCAAGTTGGAACTGATCTGGCATACAATTTGGAGAAAAGTTATCTGCTTTGTTTATTATATTTAACATTAAATAGAAAGTGTTTCATATGTTATTTTATAGTATAATAAAATCCAGAACCCAGCTTCCATAATCCATTACTGTACTGGAGTTTCCTGAGAAATACGTATAATTAATAATGATAATAATAATAGTAACCAATGAAAGTTTGCATTATGAGCTGCTTAAATCATAGGACTAGTTTTTTTCCTACTAATTAGGCAACCTGTTATGGCATTTGTAGCCAGAATTAAAATAATCTAATAAATTCAACTAGTTATTTGTAGAATGTTTCCTTTATATATGTCTATATGCATACTGCTTATATTTTGTGACTCAGTTGTAGTCACCCTTGAATCTATTTGACCTTTAAACGAAGACAGCATATTGTTCTATGACAAAATTAAAATACTGTGTGTGCACTTGTATTATTGTGAGATATAAGCATTTTATAACCATTAATTCTAACCATTAATTCTACCCTATACCCACCCCCTTCTTTTTTTTGTCTGTACCTTAACGTCTCAGACACTCAGACGTAATGTAGAAGACATTCCATAAAGTCAGCAGTGACTGGCACGTACTATCCCAAGTCTCATAGTGAAAGTTTACTGATTATTCCAGTTAATTTGCATTTACTTCTTTACTCCTTTATGCTTCAATTTCTGAACATAATGCAAAGGGTAACACATCTCTGATGTAATTCTAAATTCCTTAGGTTAAGATGACTCCCAGTGACTTAGCAGAATGCCAATCTTTGTACTTTAATATGTATCACAGCATCTTCAATTTCTTTGGAGGTAGCAGTTCCTTTTCTAAAAGAGTGAAGTTGCACAATAATAGCATTCAAAGGAGACCCTTTTCTTGCCTTCAGCTTTCATTGGTATATGTGGTATGTTAAATAGACCAACACAACCTTACCTTAAAAAAAATATAAATTATTATTATTAGTCTCTCAGTTTCATTAAAATCGTACAGTTTCTTCTTTACCTCTGGTGTGATGTCTCCACTTCCATGTGATTCTGTGCTGCTGCATAAAATGAAGAATGCATCAGACTAACATTTCTTTATTGCTTTCATACTTTAGCAGTATCAATATTCTGTGCTGATGAGCAGGCGTGTACCTGAGCAGGTCTCTACCTGCAAAACTAATGATAAATTTTCTTGTTAAGTGTTACGTAATTATAGTTCTTGTCTTGGGCAACTTGTAGTTTATGTTGCTTTTTTTTTTTTTTAATATCTTAAACATTTCATTAGGAATAAAACATGGTATGCAACTTTTTGTTTACTGCTGTTTCCAACTGCGGTATAGATGGGTGGAAAATCATTACCAATTCAACAAAACCTATTACATTGCAATTAAAAGATCAGACTGGACATGGTTTATTCCATCCCTGTTTCTATTTTTTTGAAACATATTCTAGGAGTTATGTAATTAAATTACTACCTGCTGTATCACCATCTGCTTACATGGTTTTGAAATGTTTCTAACCTCTGTGTGTGTATAGACTTCATGACTTCAAGGAAGTGCCAGAAAAACACTGAACGTACTCAGCAGATGGACTGAGTGACTTACACCTCCAAGCAGTCAGTCTTGATTGTACTGGGTATAATTAAGCATATTTTCTCTAAATCTAATTATTTAGTTTCAAAACCTGGCAGGGAGACTTCTGTAATTGTGATAGTAAAGTATTCTTTCTGGGATGAAGACCTGATTGAGATGATGGCTATAGATAAATAGTATGTATTTTCTTGTTATGGTCATACACTATTATTTCTTAGGTAAATAGTTGTATCATTATCTTTAAGTAAATATGCTTCAACTCAATTCTTGCACTACAGTATGAC